CCACCCCCCTCATCATCCCCACACCCCTCATCATCCTCACTCGGATCCCCATCGCAAAGAGTAAACTGTAGGGTGTACAGTATGTGTACGTTTGTGAGAATGTGTGTGCATGTGTATGTGAATTAAAAACTTAAAGTGAGATTGGGAGTGTCTGCGATGCTGGTCTCTTCAATCATTTTCATTGGTGGTGATGTGTGAGGTGGATGCCTGGTATCTGCCAAATGCTTTGTCATTGCATTGTACTCTGCTGAGTGACTTACTCATAACTGCGTGTTAAATTCTGTATTTTGTTCAAGTTAAATTTCAATACTTTCCGCTTCAGCAAGAAGTGTTTTTTACTGAAATTTATTATGCCTCGTGTAAAGTAATATCAAAGTGGTATCCCTATTCAGTTATGAAGATTTTCAGTGCGGGGAATATACTTTCAGACTCTTTCTCTCTCAAGTTTACTTGTATTTGTGAGGGGTGTGGTATTGGTTCAGTTGTGCTCTTTTACATGATGTTGTGTTTAGGTGAAACAAACTTAAGTATGAGAAAAGAGCATCATTGTGTCATTGTGTAAAGCTGCAAGTTTTTATTCCTAGACCATGTTAGTGTGAAAATTGTTTAAATATTGTTGCATACCTTCCAGTATGCAGAAACAAACAATTTGCTATTGACTCCTCGGGAACCATATTTAATATTGACCCTTAGGTTTTTTTTGTTTTTGTTTTTTTTCGGTAGCCTAACAGCCCTCAAACAATGCCTTTCTTGGTATAATAAGAGTTCACTATTTTGTTTAACTGACCTGCAAACCTGTTGTTTTATCCACTTTACATATGTTTAATCATCAGTGAAAATGATAATATATTATATCTATATATATATATATCTATTATATATTTGTGTGTTGATGTGGTAGAGGCATTATTGTGATTTTTATGACCTGCTTTCCATGCATGTCAGAAACAGCTCAAAGTGAATGTGATGTGATGTTAATGTAAAGTTCTGTAACTCCCTATGCTTGTGCTTTTAAATGTATCTCTCCCCTGTTTTGTGGTAGATGGAAACATTGTTTCAATGTTTCATTTTAAAATTACTTTTGTAGATCTTCAAATCTTTTGATATGTTATAGTTTACAGGAAAACTGCATGGTTGTGGATTATTATTTTTCCGTGCCTATTGTTTGCTAAGAGAAATGCTTGTCATTTTTTATTGCAATGCTTTTCATTGACATTTTGACTTTAAGCTTATGTTTATTCAATTCAAAACTCAATCAGCAAAAAGCTGTCCCAATACTACTTGGCACATTTCAGCCTCAAAAATAAGAAAGTCTGCTGATAGTCATTGAAAAAGTCTCGCAATGGGTAAGCACTTTTAATGAACTTTCTGAGTTAGCCCATCTCTTCTCTTTTCCTCGGGACCTATATTTACATTGTAGTAGGTATAGTTGCAAATTTGAATGCTGACAGAATTTATCAAAGACACCCAATATTTCAGTGATAGAGCTATTTTGGACCACTTCCAAACACTGTGTGCATCTGAAAGAAAAAAAAAAAAGAATGAGCTTGTATTTTGTTGTCTAAGTGTTATTTTAAAGTTTATCTTATAATTGTTGCAGCACTCACTCAATGCAAGTGACATTGCATTTACATATTTGTAAATTTGATCTCAAAAGAAATGCTTAGTACAATGATGGATGTCTTTTTCACTTTTTCCCCCGTAATTTAGAGCGATTCTATTTGAGCTTCATAGTTGCTAGATGGGGAGCCTAACGCAGAAACTTAATATTTCTGGAGATTCAGACAAAGTGCTTTATTATATGAAACATTGTTTGAGCTCATTTTATTGCCTATTACCCAGTTGCTGCACAATGACAGCCTGTTCGAAGTTTTATTGAACTTGTTTTTCATTAGACTGTGGCTTCTTAATATAAGTAATGCTGTAAAGTTTCTTTCACAGAGCTGCTTATATAATTACTAAGAGATACATTTTTGTTACCTTACTGATACTAGTTAATATTTAGCTGTCCTGTCTGGGGCTGCTATTAGAATAGTTGAGTTTTGAACTCATTTGTATTCATATGTAAATATTGTTAATGAGAGAGAAATTCTACCAGCCTTTTATATATTTATGTGTTATGTAAGTTATTTTCTGAACTGGGAAAGCTATGTTACTCGTGTTTGCCAACAAAGGTTAACATTACAATTAACCCAAACAATAGGAGCCAAGTTAATTGTGTGTCAACATTTGTTCCTTGCAATTTGAACAAGCAGATTTTACTTGGCGTAACTTGTCCTCTAATGTACATAATCAGCATCAATTGTGAATAGATCATATTTTTAATACTGTCAGAATTAGTAAGTGGAATGGTAATTGTAAATATTGTACAGAAAGCGTGTATATGTATGACTTTCCACTGTTCAGGTTTTTTTTTTGTGTCTAAAATTGAATCTATATTAAACGAATCATTAACAGTTGTTACAACTTATTTACGAAAAGGTTGATTGTTATTTTTTTATGGTTTGGGTTGCAAGAATCTTTATTGTTTGTATTTCTTTTCACCCATTTCAATTGGATTAAAAATTTGGTTCATACCGCAGAATTGTGTAGGGTATAGAATTGTGTGTCCTGTAATGACAAGGTTGTTTCTAAAATTTTCTCCATGAAAATAAAACAAATCTCGCTTTAATTGTTATCGCCAGTCTTATAAATAAATCCAGAACAAAATTTCTCTTTGAACAGTTTGATGCAGTAGAATTTGTCAAGCTGCAACTGAAACATGAAACAGAAACTATTATATTCCAGCTAAAATCAAAAATCATTTCACCCTTACAGGAAAAGATGTTAACAGGGTAATATTGCAAACATTTGAAAAATAAATTGATAGTGTGAAATGACATAAATAAAAGAAATCTTTTTTTCTGCCTGCATTACATGATAGCAGATTCTGCTATCTTGGAAATGATTTTTAAAAACACACTAAGAGGGTTGTAACACAAGTACAGACAAAATAAAAAGCACAGACACAAAAACCGACACCTCTGCAGAAAAGATTTCAGACCGCTGCTGCCACCACCAACACACATTCTATGTTCTGACTATTAGACACAGTAATCCATAATCCATGCTACTCACTGGGTATGAAGGGTGTATCACAAGTTTGTAGTTTGTTCTTTTGAAGGGAAAATATCAAAGCCTTAAAAAATTAAAACTGTACAATTGCCTTAAAATCTAATATCACTCATGCAACAGCTGGCACATAAACATAAAAGAGAACCATTATAGTAGGACACAATTCCAAGCCCAGCAACACAAAATAACATCAAATTTGTTGTTTTGCACACATGTACACAATAACTGAGAATAACCCACTTACATAAGCACCTATCAGCAAGAAAAAACAAATTTTATATAGGGAGGCTGCTTACAAAACAATTAAGCTTCAATTTCTTATTAAGTACACAAAACCCTTTAACCAACCAAAGGTGGAGGAGACAAATAGGTGTGATTTCCAACGAAATGAGTGAGAGTTCCAGGAAAATGTGGATTTGGTGATTTGTACAAGCACATTGTGAGGGAAACACATATACATAAAATATTTGGAAATTTAACTTACAGAAAAATCACTGAGATTGACAAGCAAGTTCATAATACTAATTCTGGATCTTTAAGAAAGATAAAAATATTAGGATGTGGATGGGCCCTTAAAGAAAAATATAAGTACACATCTTTAGATATCACTCACCAACATATTTCACTTCGTCAAAAGCCTTTCTGGCCTTCTTTAACTCTTCATTCATTGTTAATAAGTCTTTAACACGTGCATACTTGCGTGAGTCTTTACGGACAAGGAAAACAATATCTTCAACCTGCACTCTTCCTGTTCGTCCAATTTCCATACCCTTGTGGGTCTGCAAAAATTTAGATTTGTTACCAAAATAAAAATTTAAGCAGTACAGAAAGGAAAAGGATCATTAACTGATTTTCACACCTACCATTTCAGTTATAAATTCAATTACTAAGTCCTCCAGAAGATCTACACTCTCAGTGTATGGATTCTGGTCATCTCCAAAGCCATACATCATGCACCGCAACTCCTTAGAAAACAGCCGTTTCCGCCCAGATGATGTTGAGCCTAGAGGAGCAACATATTCTTCCTCCTCTTCCTGTGGGAAAATACAACAATAGAGAACAAATTCAAGTAAAGCAAATGCAAGACAGTATGTAAACAACCCTCAATGGAAAGCTACAATGATTATTTGAACGGTTCAATTCATAAAGTTGAAAAAACAAATTGACACTGTCAGAAACTTAATGCAATTCAAAACTTTTCTATTTAAAAAGAATCACAAAGTAGTACCGCTTCGAGCTCCTCAGCTCCAGTCGGCGGCCCGGGAGGTCCAACAGTCTGTCCCACTGTCAGTCCAGTTCCAGTAGCAGCCGAAGCAGGAGCACCAGTTGTCGGCTCCGTGGACACTGGTGCCAGTGTTTCTCCTAAATTAGAAGCCTCCTGTTGTTCCACGGGGACAGCTACAGAGTCCGCGCCCAACGGAATTGTCTCCATTGCAACACTTGCAAGGTACGTAAACAACACAGCAGGAGGGAAACCTAACCTGTACTTGACAGCAGAAGCAGACAGTACGGCACGGCGACTCGGGGCAGGATGGGAGAACCTCTGCGCCCCCTTGAAAAACTCATAAAGAAGTTCTGCTGCACATCGGCGGAAACCGCGGAAACATTCAAAAAACATTTCCAGGGAATGCCATAAATGTTCACGAATTATGAAGGCATTTTGGAGCTTCTTTGATGGACCCATCAGGCTCTATCACTTATGATAAGACTCGTGTACGGGTCACTCCACTCAACCCTGCTCAAATGTTCACAATTTGTGAAAATTTATTTGTTTTGTTGAACCATCAAAAAGCATTGAGCGAACCCGGATGGCATTATTAGTAATTGGAAAATCTGAAATGATTGGTGATGGGCTTCTGGTTTTATTGGAAGGCCATGAGGAAAGTGAGGGAACTGAACTGAAGGAGTTGAACCCTTCACTCTCATTGCGTCGGTAGATCGTACTCACACTAAAAAAACTCGTCATGAAAATGACAATATATGGCTAATTACTTGTAGAATAACGTCATCGCCGATTTTTTCGTCATCTATTTGATGAATTTTCATGAAAACGACGATAAATCCGTGATGGTTGTAGAAAGGATTAGCAATGACATTCTCATTTTCATCACGATTTTTGTTTACAGTGTACGTGGAGGTCAGAGCATTTCGGGCCACCCAGGTCACCCGAGCCACCCTTAGCTGTAGAGGGTCACGCCGGTGCGAAGTTGTTGGTAAGTGAAGGCGTCCTGGACGCCGGAACCTGGAGCGAGCCAGAGACATTTCCAGGACTTGATGGGCTCCAGGGCTTCCGCAAGCACGACGGGGCCGCCGAGACGGGCGTCTAAAACGCCGTCCAGGAAGGAGATGACAAATGACTGTCGCGAGCGGAACGCCCGGCCCGCAGTGTTCCGCACCCCCGGCCCCGCGCGCAATCCGATCATTGCCCCGTTCCAGGAAGAGCCTGGCGGAGCCCGGCGCAGCCCGGGCAGCGAGAGGAGGCAGCGAGCGATCAGGGTTTCTGAGAAGCTCTCCGGGTGAGGAGGACCCTCGCCGGCAGAGGGAAGACCTGCCATGGGGTGCGGCGCCGAAGGGCGCGGCCCCGGCCCCGGCCCCGGCCCCGGCCACTGTAAAACCCTTTGACTCCAAAATGTAAAGGGGCAACGTTTTCGCGCTGATCCATCCCAAGCGCGAGATTCATATCGAAAAATCCGAAAAGCCCACATTATTCAATGTGGTCTA